CTCGGCGGGAGTGCCGCCGCGCTTCCCAAGCGGCGCACTGTAGCAGTGCACCACCGGGCCGTCCCCCCTCATGTTATTGCTTTATAGCCATACATGCCCTTTCCCAGTCTCCAGCAACAACTAATTTGTTTACCACCTCTATAATTCTGTTACTTCAAAGATGTTATAGAAACAGAATCATATCGTATATAAACTTTCGAGACTGGCTTTTTTCACTCAGTGTGATGGATTTTGAGATCCATCCAGGTTGTTATGTGTATCAACAGTTTGTTTTTACTGTTGACTAATATTCCATGGTATGGATGTACCACAGTTTGTTAATCCGTTCACCTGCTGAAGGATGAGTGTGCGGCCTCTGGTTTTTAGCTGCAAGGAATGAAGCTGCTGTGGACATTAATGTACAAGTTTCCCTGTGAACCTAAGTTTCCATTTCTCTGGGATAAATGCCCAATAGTACAACTGCTGGGTTGTTTGGTTAGTCTATTTCTGGTTTTAAAGGGAACTGCCAAAATCTTTAGTGGAATGGCTATACCACTTTGCTTTCTCACTAGCTATGTACAATGACTTAGCTTCTCTGCATCCTTTCCAGCATCTGGTTTTATCATTTTTTAAAAGTATTATTTTAGCATTTCTGATAAGTTTGTAGAAATATCTCATAGATTTAATTTGCATGTCTCTACTGGCTAATGAGGTTGACCATGTTTTGTGTGCTTATTTGCCATCCATATACATCCTCTTCAGTGAAATGTCTGTCCACATCTTTTGCCCATTTTCTGATTGGATTGCTTCTTAATGTTCTGTTCTAGGAATTCTTTATGTATTCTAGATACAGGTCTTTTGTCAGACATGTGGTTTGCAGGTATTTCCTCCCTGTCTGCAGCTTGGACTTTCATCTCTTAAGAGAGCCTCTTACAGAACAAAAGCTTTTGATTTTCATGAGGGCCAGTTTATCAATTTTTCCATTTATGGATTACACTTTTGATGTCAAGTCTAAGAATTCTTCCCCTAGTCCTAGGCCAGACATTTTTATCATATGTGTGTGTGTGTGTGTGTGTGTGTGTATATATCTATCTATATATATATATATTTTTTCCCTAAAAGGGCTATAGTTTCACCTTTTACATTTAAGTCCAGGATCCATTTTGAGTTATAATTTTTGTAGGTGTGAAGTTCATATCAAGGATCATTCTTTGCCCACATACGTTTGAGTGTTCCAACCCCATCCTTCACTGAACTACATTGGTGCTATCATCAAGTATCAGTTGAG